GGATTGACTGTGTAGTCAGATGTCTGGATTGACTGTGTAGTCAGATCTCTGGATTGACTGTGTAGTCTGATGTCTGGATTTACTGTGTAGTCAGATGTCTGGATTGACTGTGTAGTCAGATGTCTGGATTGACTGTGTAGTCAGATGTCTGGATTGACTGTGTAGTCAGATGTCTGGATTGACTGTGTAGTCAGATGTCTGGATTGACTGTGTAGTCAGATGTCTGGATTGACTGTGTAGTCAGATGTCTGGATTGACTGTGTAGTCAGATGTCTGGATTGACTGTGTAGTCAGATGTCTGGATTGACTGTGTAGTCAGATGTCTGGATTGACTGTGTAGTCAGATGTCTGGATTGACTGTGTAGTCAGATGTCTGGATTGACTGTGTAGTCAGATGTCTGGATTGACTGTGTAGTCAGATGTCTGGATTGACTGTGTAGTCAGATGTCTGGATTGACTGTGTAGTCAGATGTCTGGATTGACTGTGTAGTCAGATGTCTGGATTGACTGTGTAGTCAGATGTCTGGATTGACTGTGTAGTCAGATGTCTGGATTGACTGTGTAGTCAGATGTCTGGATTGACTGTGTAGTCAGATGTCTGGATTGACTGTGTAGTCAGATGTCTGGATTGACTGTGTAGTCAGATGTCTGGATTGACTGTGTAGTCTGATGTCTGGATTGACTGTGTAGTCAGATGTCAGGATTGACTGTGTAGTCAGATGTCTGGATTGACTGTGTAGTCAGATGTCTGGATTGACTGTGTAGTCAGATGTCTGGATTGACTGTGTAGTCAGATGTCTGGATTGACTGTGTAGTCAAATGTCTGGATTGACTGTTTAGTCAGATGTCTGGATTGACTGTGTAGTCAGATGTCTAGATTGGCCGAGTCTTCTGATGTCTGGATTGACTGTGTAGTCAGATGTCTGGTTTGACTTTGTAGTCAGATGTCTGGATTGACTGTGTAGTAAAATGTCTGGATTGACTGTGTAGTCAGATGTCTAGATTGGCCGTGTCGTCTGATGTCTGGATTGACCGTGTCGTCAGATGTCTGGATTGACTGTGTAGTCAGATGTCTGGATTGACTGTTTAGTCAGATTTCTGGATTTCCTCCGTAGTCAGATTTCTGGATTGACTCCGTAGTCAGATGTCTGGATTGACTGTGTAGTCAGATGTCTGGATTGACTGTGTAGTCAATGTCTGGATTGGCTGCGTCGTCAGATGTCTGGATTGACTGTGACGTCAGATGTCTGGATTGACTGTGTCGTCAGATGTCTGGATTGACTCTGTAGTCAGATGTCTGGATAGACTGTGTAGTCAGATGTCTTGATCAGCTGTGTAGACAAATGTCTGGATTAGCTGTGTCGTGAGAGGTCTCGATTGGCTATGTATTCAAATGTCTGGATTGTCCGTCTAGTCAGATGTGATAATACAAAGGATGGGACCACGTAAACCAAAGATAGTGGACACGTTAGTGTTCGCCAAGGGCTAAGTGAGAGAGCGGGGACCGGATCTTCTGATTGGGATCAAGCTGATTCATCATTACGCAATCCCATGGCTTGCCATTTCGTCTAGTTGTAACGACATTAAATGCATTCATAAATAATAACATCTCAATCTAAAGTCAAACATTCACAATCGTAATTTAATTACAAAATGTAATCAACTTTTGACTTTATCGTGATGAACATGTATCATAAATGGCGCATTTGATGTGACTTAACATTGTATAAACGGAGCCCGTCACGTGGTCACCGTCACACGCTAAAGGGAGTGGTGTACGCCCCTGACTGTGACGATGAGGTTTGTTAGTGAACAGTGGGTGATGCTAAGAGTACGTGTGTATGTGTGTGAATGTGTGTGTGTGTGTGCCAATGATTGGGTGCGTGCGTCAGAAATCGACACCACCAGCAGGGAACCAAAACGTTGGCCGCATGAGTGACATCATTTGACGTCAACAATGCTTGACCTCCTTACGTGACCCGTTTCTCGGACGGCTGCGCGGTACTGGTGCCTCTCCCGCCACCCACTTCTCCTTCCCTTACCGCTGTTCTATTTATATCAAAAGCGTGTCATAAACTAAACGCAAGTGCCCCCGAAGCGGGCATTCTGTCCGTTTCAATTAAGACCGCCGGTCGTCTGCGTGGAATCGAGACACTCCGATAATTCGATAACCCCTGAGTGTAAGTCAGTGTAAGCGACTCCGCCACTACACGGCGTAGTAGACAAGGGGAGAGGAGGTGACGGCGCATTTCCACCTTGCAGTTGATTGGCCTAGTCAATGTCCAACCAACCGGTACTGACTGGCCACAGGTCGGAGCAAACTGACGGGACTGTCCAGTAGGCCCAGTTGAGATTATTCCAAGTGAAATCGACCACTCGGTCAGCCACATACAAAAAAATGTCTTGTGAGTATTTGAAACAATTACATTAATAATTATAAAATTGTGTTTATCAAAATGTTCGTTCCACAAGTTTAAAAAAAAAATATAATTATAAAGAGTAATGCTATTAATAAAGGGTATGGTTTATGTATAATATTATATATAACTACATTTAAACACTACGCGATCCTTGCCGATCAATTAGACTTTGGACTTTGGATGAAATAACAAGGATTCGTATTAAATTATTCATTAGAAAAAAAGAGACACCTGATCACACAACAACCCAGTCACCTATCACACAACAACCCAGTCACCTATCACACAACAACCCACTCACCTATCACACAACAACCCACTCACCTATCACACAACAACCCCGTCACCCAAACAGTGGCGTAGCTAGGGTTAGTGTGGCGTAGCTAGGGTTAGTGTGGCGTAGCTAGGGTCAGTGTGGCGTAGCGAGGGTCAGTGTGGGGTAGCTAGGTTAGTGTGGCGTAGCTAGGGTTAGTGTGGCGTAGCTAGGGTTAGTGTGGCGTAGCTAGTGTTAGTGTGGCGTAGCTAGGGTTAGTGTGGCGTAGCTAGGGTCAGTGTGGCGTTGCGAGGGTCAGTGTGGCGTAGCTAGGGTTAGTGTGGCGTAGCTAGGGTCAGTGTGGCGTAGCTAGTATTAGTGTGGCGTAGCTAGGGTCAGTGTGGCGTAGCTAGGGTTAGTGTGGCGTAGCTAGTGTTAGTGTGGCGTAGCTAGTGTTAGTGTGGCGTAGCTAGGGTTAGTGCCGCTTGGCTTTCTTCCCCACCGCCTTCACGAAAAAAAATCAACATTTGGCCGAAAATGCCACCCATCCATATAAAGGAAAAACAAAGTGCCGTCGGCATGGACCACCCTCTCCCCACCCCCCACCCCCCTTACTCTGCCATTGCACCCATATAATAAAACAAATATATTTCTTTTTGTTGTTTAAGTTTAATTTATGATGAGGGAAGCACAAGAAGTTATTGCATTCCAGAACCAAGTCTTTCTGGTTGGTTGATAGATTCGTGCTCTTTGTTGGCATACTGTGCTAAGGCTCAAATCTTTTCTTTACTTTAATAAAACTAAAAGACCTATAGTTATATAATGGCTACGTTAACAAGTTCGCCGCTAACTGTTATCAAATGGGCTTAATATTCTAAATATAAATTAGTCTCATTGTTAACAAATATTTAAAAAAAACAAACACAAAAACACCAAAACAGCAAGCTCCTGCCTGGCCTCAGCGGATATTTTAAGGCAACCGTTTAGTTTACATTCGGCACTGACCACCGTACTATCAAAGGCGGATCTCTCTCGTAGGCTTCAATGCTTGTTTGGTGAAAGGGGGCACCTTGGGAGTGTATAGGCCACGCGTTGTGGGCTCATTACGGGCCTGAACCTGTGGGCTTGCGTTGGGGGGGGGGGGGGGGGGGGGGGGAGGGTTATTGGAGAACTTTTGGGGCGTATTGTTTTGTTTGGTGAAAGGGGGCACCTTGGGAGTGTATAGGCCACGCGTTGTGGGCTCATTACGGGCCTGAACCTGTGGGCTTGCGTTGGGGGGGGGGGAGGGGGGAGTGGAGAGTTATTGGAGAACTTTTGGGGCGTATTGTTTGTCACTTAGAGAAAGGATACTTCGTTCGTATGTACACATTAAATACGGCCGAATTCAGGGGAGTCTTAAAACAAAAACAAAAAATATTTAGCAAAATAAAAAAGGACGGACGTGTTTGAAATTCAAATAAAAGATGAAATGTGAATATTCACTTCAAGAAAAAACAAAATTCCAGTATAGAAATGAATAGAAGTTTTTTTTGGAGCACCCCCACCTCCGGATTTCCTAAGAGGGTTTTAAAAAAATCATCAAAATCCTATCTTCTCCTTGTCAAACAACGTTTATTAAATTATCGATTTAGTGCTGTGATCCACAAAATACACGTTAAAATCACACGTGATCACATCACGACAATCACAGGTGTTTGAGGCATTACTTCAGTCAGTTTTATCACTATGAACACACCTGCTTGAACTTACATGACGCAACATACCTGCTTTAAGTTACATGACTGAACATACCTGCCTTGACTTACATGACTGAACATATCTGCCTTGACTTACATGACTGAACATATCTGCCTTGACTTACATGACTGAACATATCTGCCTTGACTTACATGACTGAACATATCTGCCTTGACTTACATGACTGAACATATCTGCCTTGCCTCACACGACTGAACATACCTGGCTTGGCTCACATGACTGAACATACCTGGCTTGGCTCACATGACTCAAAATGCCTGTCTTGGCTCACATGACTGAACATACCTGGCTTGGCTCACATGACTGAACATACCTGGCTTGGCTCACATGACTCAAAATGCCTGTCTTGGCTCACATGACTGAACATACCTGGCTTGGCTCACATGACTCAAAATGCCTGTCTTGGCTCACATGACTGAACATACCTGGCTTGGCTCACATGACACATCAGTTACATAAAGCACGTGTTTCTTTTATTTTCAGCCACGACGCTGTCCGCGTGCCTGTCACAGCGGTTCCCGGACCTTCTCCGGCGGTACCTGGTGCTGATCGGCTGCGTCCTCATCGTTATGCCGGTGTCCGTGTCCGTCTACTTCGGCAACTTCATCATCTACATCTCGTCCTACTACCACGCCAAAGCCTCCTCGGTGGCCGTGTGGATTGACCCACTGTGGCTGTCTTCCGCTTTCAAAATTCTGCAGCCCATTGGAATGGTCATGTCCGGCCTGTTGGAACGGAAGACGACCCTGAAAATCGGAATCATCATCGGCGTTCTCATGCAGAGCTCGTCCGTTATCTTAAGTTACTGGACCGTGGTTGAGCCCATAGCGCTTCTTGCGACTTTCGGTATCCTCCAAGGCATCGCCGGAGGCATTCTCCTGGCCCTGCCCTACAAACTGGCCGCCGAAGCGTTCCCGGCGAAACGGGGACTTGCCTTCGGGATCTTGTCCATGGGGCCGAGTATTTTCCCGTTGCTTCACATGGTGCTGTCCTACTACTTAATCAACCCGGACAACGCCAGCACGGACATTGAGATCGACAACATCCGATACTTCAGCGACTCGGGGGTCATCGATCGGGTGCCGTCGTTCTTCCTGAAGATTGGGTTGTTCACGGCGGGTCTGCAGCTCACCGGGACTCTGATGATTCACGTCAAGAGAGAAAATCTTGAGCCTTCAGAAGACAACGGCCTAGAGACAAAAATGCTGGTGGAATCTGACCAAAACGATGAAATCTTGCTTTCGGACCATTCTGTCGGCGAGAAGGGAGCCATCATGTCCTCTACCGACGAGTCGGAGGAAGAGAAATGGGACGATGAAGCGCTGGAAAGTATACCTGCCGGCGTAGGTAGTGGAAGTGTACGTATTCAGGTGGAGGACCCCCCGCCCGGCGTGGACAACGGTGGTTTCAAAACAGATGAAGTGGAATCGCAACCCGTGAGTTCGTGTTCAGAAAAAAGCTGCGTCGCTATGGGCGATAACACCAACTATGCTCAAGAATCGAGTGTTGAGATCGGGGATTACCAAAGCCACGTTCTTATTCAGTGCAGCGCCAGCAAGAGCGAGTTCGAGATCGACAAGAATTTGGGTCAGAATTCCATCGATGAAGAACTGGCGTCGGAAAAATCGGAAAACTGCGGCATGGATTTGAACCCCAAAGACATGTTAGCGACGTGCACCTTCTGGAAGACTTGGACTATATTCGCACTGATGGGTCACACGTTCTTCATTCACCTGAACCTCTACAAGCAGTTCGGGCTGACGGTCATCAACGACGACAACATGCTGGTCATGGCCGGGACCGTCAGCACGTTCGTCCTGATGATCTTTCGACCGGTCGTCGGGCTTCTTTCCGACCGCTTCGGCCTGAAACCGATTCTCGCGCTGACCTGCGCGTGCTCAAATGTCTTCATGACGATGATGCCCATCTCGCTGTACGCCTGCCCCCCGCTCTACATTGTGTTCGTCGCCCTCGAGTTCTACGCCACGTCCTCGGTCAAAGTCTTCTACTACATGGCCCCCATGGCCCTGTTCGGACCGACCCACTTCGCGACGAACGTCGGTCTGATGTCAGCCTCGCAGTGGGTCATCTTTTTTCTTGGACCCATTATGATTCCGCCCCTGATAAAATCCGTGGGATGGACCTACGTTTTTATGAGCGGGGCTGCCGCGGCTGCGATTGCCTTCTTCCTGAGTTTGACACTGCCAGATGTTAAGAACCCGAAGAAGAAGAAATAAATACCCCCCCCCCCCCAACTTATTTTTGTTTCTCCCCGTGTATCAGTTGATTACAATTAATTGGACTCATTCCATTTACACGGGAAGATGGTTTACGGTAGCTTCTGTTTTATTGGCACTTTCTTGAGTGACTTACAAGTCTGGTGCTGGTGTGGCAGTCACGGCATCATCATTCTCACAGGAGAATCTCGACTGCTTCTATGTTCTATTTTTGCTGCTCGCTTCAGTTGTTCGTAGTTGGTCACATACACTTTCCAAATTACAGCATATTTTAAAGTCAAGTGCGCTCTCGCAGCCATGGTGATAGCATGCAAAGCTCAAAGACATCGAATTTTTAAAACAATAATTTATAAGTCGAGTACGGTGAACAGAACAGTGTATATTATTACTCATAAACTTTGTCGTGGAATTATGGCTTTTCTGAACTAACCGTTAAATAATTGTGCTATGAACCTTTGTTCAGATTCCAGACGTACTTTGCTATCACTGTGTACACTGTATAACGATATGACCATATACGTTTGTCATGTTGACTTTTTCATTGCTTTCCATTTTTCTTGTCTCATTCATTCATCTCGTTCATGAATAAAAATACAACGCAACAAGGCACAACAGTGCCGTAAGAAGGTTGGGAAGGGGGGGGGAGCAGATTTTTCGTGGAAGGGTGGGTTGGGGGGTGGGTGGGGTTGCGGGAAAACTCTCGGCCCACCCGGGTAACGCTAGTCCTCAGCTACGCCAATAGACATATGGCACTTTTCATCAACATTCCATAATTTATTGCTCAGGTAAATTTGCATGAAGGCATCTCTTGACATGTGTGCATGATTATAATAGATTATATTCATTACATGAGATTAAAATACGTATTTCTTACACCTTGTTTACTTGTGTTTCCCCCCCCCCCGTGTTGAAAGTGTAAACATTATAGTTATATAACTTATTGAATGTGATCTTAAAATCTATGGTTAATATTAAATGCAGGCCCATTCGTATTATTAGAAGCAAAAAATAAATAAAAATATCAATGTTATTGGCAGTGGCGTAAATGTTTTTCCGGAAAAGGGGGGGGGTGGGGGGTGTGTCTGAGGGGAAGGGAGGTCAATGACCGAGCCATCAAATAGGAACACGTGGTGATTAGGGGGAAGAGTTTCAAAAGAAAAATGGAAATTTGTCGTTTAGTGGCAACGTTGCTGCACTGTTTTTTGGTAGCAACATCCGGTTTATTCTGTGTACGTATTTTAATACATTGTGTACTTCACCTTTTATACATTATAAATAACTAGATATAGCCCGCCAAACATAGGCGAAAGCAGTGCGTGAACTTCCCATCTAGTAAAGTTACTTGACAGAACATGAACTCAAGTAACGCACATTTAAGACTCCCAATTTTTCCTACACCCCTTCCCCCATGATACGTCACTGCACACTTTTTATTTCACGCCCATGAACTATATTAAATATTTTCATGTCCAAACCACTTTTAAACCGAATACTTTTTACACCATTCTTAAATTGAGACGATTTCATTTTCGAAAAGAAAATAGTACGCACCCAACGTAATTGCGTTATTAAAAAAAAATAATCTCTATCATATATAGCGTAGTTGACGGGAATTAGATATTTTACGGGCTAGTGAACTCATTATTGAACCCCACTCTGGCGTCTCTATAAATAGCCTGCGTTGTGCTTGAACCGTGTTGGTGTTTGACCTTTGCTGGCCAATTATAGATATAGATAGATATACATTATAAAAGTAATGACGGTATTAATGAGTATTGACATCATGCATTGATTTGGTGAGACTTTGAGGCTGATATACACGCGGAATAAAATTGTTCACCTGTGCCTGAAATATATGTTATAGTATGGTGTTACCGCAAAAGGTTATATGTTAAGAAATCCAACAAAGACCAATTAATTTGACGGAGTGCCAATGCTGTAATATGAATAACTATCCGGGTGCAGTGTTTTCAATCCGTGTCCAGATATTTTGAGAAAATACCCGGTGGGTCCAAGTGTTACCGAAAAAAAAAGGAGTTAACTTCTTAAGCAACGAAATCTACTGCGTTACTGCGGAAAAAGGACGAACAGGCGCACACATGCTCCAAGTCAAAGGACGGCCCATGACCCAGTTCTATGTGGTGTGCAGTCCCAGAACCAAGATCTGAAAAATTGTGAGTTTAAAAAAAAAATATTTTCTATATAACTATTGTGTGGAGGGTGAGATGGGAGGAGGGACGAGGAGAGCTGGAGAGGATTCACTTAAAATAATCAACACCCTTCCCACTTTTGCTATAACACATAACGACAAGTTTTCCGAACATTGTAACAAAAAGATTCACTTAAAATAATCAACACCCTTCCCACTTTTGTTATGACACATAACGACAAGATTTCCGAACATTGTCACAAACAGATTCACTTAAAATAATCAACACCCTTCCCACTTTTGTTATGACACATAACGACAAGATTTCCGAACATTGTCACAAACAGATTGACTTAAAATAATCAACACCCTTCCCACTTTTGTTATAACACATAACGACAAGTTTTCCGAACATTGTCACAAACAGATTCACTTAAAATAATCAACACCCTTCCCACTTTTGTTATAACACATAACGACAAGTTTTTCGAACATTGTCACAAACAGATTCACACATTTAAAAACAAATTGTCCAAATAACATGCCAGAGAAACCATGAGAAGTAAAACAATACGTTTTTATTGAATAATACCAATGCAGATATATATGAATTTTTAACAAATGTTATTATGCCAGAGTTTTTGGAATTGAATATTCGCACGAATGGTAATGTGGTGCATATAATTTGGGGCAAATTGGAGATAATATTTATTTGAATTTCAAGATGTTTGTGCCTCGAATAAACCACAGAAGATCCGAAGAAGGGTGGTTCTTTTCTTTTGGTAGTTTATATAATAAATAAATAAATCATTAACAAAATTCGAGCGATCAGTACTTGATTCAAGACACACACATATTAAAATGCAGGAGTGTGTCACACACTGGCAATATCACCCACAAGGGTTTGAAAAATTCGACCATTAATTTCCAGTTACATAAAAAAAAAAAAAAAAAAAAAAAAAAAAAAAAAAAAAAAAAAAAAAAAAAAAAAAGAAAAA